TTTTAACAATTCTGCAGTGCTGAAGCTGAGGTACAGAAAGGCTAAGTTGCCTGAGATCACATACCATGGAACAGAGGAAGGAGTCAAACTTTGTTTCTGTCTCCAAAATCTGTGCCATTTCTATTCAACCATGTTTCCACCCCCTTTCAGAAGCAGGTTCCCACTTGTAGTTAATGAACTGTCTCCTGTATTGTTTAACCATATTCCTTTGTAGTATAAAAATCAGTCATTAAGAAGGTCCAGTTGCAGTTGCCACTTTAATAGAGCGTATTTTACCTTTCACAAAGACTGGGAAAACTAATTCTACTCAAGGTCTTCCTGGTTCAAATGATACAAATACAATTAAAATAGTATAAAGTAATATAAAGTGTCTTTTTGGAATATTTCCTTCCACATTAATCCTTTATATTCCTATATTTGCTATTATTTTAATTATTAAATTATGAAGGCAAACAATTTCAAAAAAACTATGTACAAATATTATATTGAGTATTTCCTAGTTTGTGGCAACCGCACATAGCAGTTTTCTCAACCTTGGCACTGTGGGCATGTAGGTCCTGATAATTCTTTATTATGGGGAGTAAGATGCATTGTAAGATGTCTCCAGACATGGCCAAATTTGCCTCCTGGGGGAATAAAATCATTCCAGGTTGAAAACCACTGATGTATAGAAATAATTGCAGAATGTGACCTCCTGATTTTATATATATATATAGACTGCCTCATTGGTTTTTTACACCCAAACATCAGAGAAGGTATGTATTTTTCAACCCAACATTTTTCTGCCAATGTTTATTTAGGTAAATTTTAATTTATGTGCCTACAGTGCAGCACAACATTTTAAACAAGAAGTGTGAGACAAGTCTGTATTTAAATTCTAAGCAGAACTGACAGACCATCAGAATCATGTGGAGTTTTGAAAAGCCTGCTGTGCAATAAAAGGAAGTGTGCCCCAGATGGTGCTGACTCTAACTGCAGCCACACACTTCACACACAGCAGCTGTTACCAGCGTTGTGATTATTTTGGTGAGCAAGTAATTTATAACCCGTTAATTTACTTCTTATATGTGGATAGTTTACTGACTTTTACTTACATTTTAGGGAAGTGGATGAGAGTTTGGGTTGAATAATAGCATATATTTCTTCCCTTTAAAATTATGAAAAAGAATTGTCTTCATGCAGAATTCTTGATTTTTAGGAATAACTTACTGATATTAAGCAGGACAAGTTTATAATTTGAAATGCCTTGGTTATTTCTTAATGCATCTCATTTTGTCATTTTGGTTGTCAGCCTCTGCCTTTTCCTCCTGCTTCTTTCAAACTTCTTTAAAATGGGTTTCTAATATTTCAGCCTATGGACTAAGAACAGTGGGCAGGAACTAGGCTATTGTATGGGGAAATGAAATGACAGAACCCTTTAAGGCAGGGGTCCTCAAACTACGGCCCGCGGGCCACATGCAAATACAAATATTGTATTTGTTCCCGTTTTGGTTTTTTACTTCAAAATAAGATATGTGCAGTGTGCACAGGAATTTGTTCATAGTTTTTTTTAAACTATAGTCCGGCCCTCCAACAGTCTGAGGGACAGTGAACTGGCCCCCTGTTTAAAAAGTTTGAGGAACCCTGCTTTACAGGATCTATAAGAGGGTGATATTTTTTAAGTGGAAAATGTTATTTCCTCTTGCTTTCAACCTGCAAAAGACCTCTCTTCCTTGAGTTTGACAAGTAACACTTAGCCCCTAATATGTGCCAACACTGACCTAAATAAAATGAGATATTTACTCCCTTATTAAATCTTTCCTCTGCCTGAGTTGCCATGTCATCTTGCCAACAACCTGGGAAGGCAGGTTTTATTATCATACCCATTTTGAAGACATAACTGAGTACCATAGTTACTGCTGGTAAGTGGTGGGGCTGAAATTTGAAGTTGGCTTTTCCTGTTCCATTTTCCATGCACCAATCCAGTGTGTATTTGCTTTCTATTGTCATGTAACTACCACAAATCTAGGTGGCTTAACACAGCACACATTTATTATCTTGCAGCTTTCGTGGATCAGGAGGTGAGGCATGGCTTAGTTGGGTGCCTCTGCTCAGGGCCTCACATGGCTGCAATCAAGGTGCCAGCCAGGCTGTGTTTTCATCTGGAAGCTCAACTGGGGAAAACCTATTCTTAAGCACATTCAGGTAGCTGACAGAATTTATTTCCTTACGGTTGCATGAGTAAGGACTCTAGGTTTTGCTGGCTGGAGATTAGAGGCTGCTGTCAGATCCTAGCGGGTGCCCTCAGTTCCTTGCTGCCTCACATGGCTGTTTACTTACTTCATCAGACCAACAAGGAGAATCTTTCACCAAGTTAGGTAAGATTGGAGGAAGGGTTGGAGAGTTTGTGGTAAAAATCTGAGTATGTGTGGCTTAGTAACTAATTTTGGGTTACCATTTTGGGGAAGCTGCATTTTTTAAAGATTAAGAGTGAGAACTCAAAGTTCTAATGTATAGTATGTTAAAGATTTGCAATGTCTGCCTAGACTTGGTTGAAACCATTCACTCTTCTTCCCATGAGTTTATTAGACCTTCCTGTGAGGTTCTTGCCTAACTGTTTCCACAAAGGGAATGTGGTAGTGAGGCAAAGGAAGGAGTCAAAATGACTCCCAGTTTTCTGACTTTAGAAACTGAGTGGGTGGTCATTTCATTTGTAAAAGACCACCAGGCTGGGGTGGTGGGAGGAGTGGAAGAGAGTTAAAAATAAAAGATGCAACCTTATTGCACCTTCCATCAGTTTGTAATATTATCCCAGACAATTCTGAATATAATTCTCCAGTTAGTCTGAAGAAATTTTCTATTAACAGAAAAAGAACCAACAAAAACAAAGAAATAAAAAATAGATCCTGGATAAAATATAATTGCATTGCATAGCTTGACTTATGGGATAAAGAGGAATCTCAAAGGTTCTGCACCCCAGTTTAAAATATTCACACATACACACACACACACTTAAAAACACTCAAATGGGAGCTGTAAGTACCATGGAGAAAAATTAGCAAGTGAAGGGGAAAGAGGATTACAATATTATGTAATTTGGTGGGAGAAAGGTATATTGAGGTTGAGAGATTTGACTTGAAAGAAGTGAGAAAACAAGCAATGAAAATAATTGCAAGAAAAGCATTCCAGATAGAGGGGCTTGCAAGTGTAAAGTCTCTGGGAAAATACTATGTCAAGGCCAATGTGACAGGAGTAGAGGGAACAAGTGGGAGAGAAGTCAGAGAATGGATTAGAGAGGAAAGAGAGTTTAGACTTATAAGAACTTTAAGGACTCTAACTTTTATTCAGAAGGAAATGGAATGGGCTTGAGCAAAGAAATGACATGATATGATTTTAGATTTTTAAAACTCTCCTTGTTTGCTGTGTGGAGAAAAGGCTGAGTGGTATGGGTGACCAGTTGGTTGCTCATTGCAATAAAGCCAATAGGAAATGATAAACCAGAGTACTCATGAGATGGTGAGAAGTAATCAGACTCGATATATTTGAAGTTAGATCTAGCAGGGTTTAATGGTAGATTGCATATGGTGTGTGAGGCAAATAGAAGAGTCAAGGATGACTCCAGGCTTTGGGGAGATGATGTTTTAAAGGAATTTGACTATGGAGAAGTGAGGGATGGCTCAATAACTAGACAAGCACAAGAGGTCAAAAGTAACTGTTTAAAAATGTTTTTATTCAATTACAATAGAGAAACAAGAGAACATATCATATATGCACAGCACCAGCAGCCAGATAAAGGAAAAAAGAACATTTCTAGGAATGGTAGGCCTTCTGGGTCCCCTTTCAATTATTGCCCCCAAAGGTGACCATGCTCCTGATTCTAACACTCTTTTAGTTTTGCTTGTGTTCAAACTTTATTTTATAAAAATGGAATTATACAGTATGTATTCTCATATGTAGCTTTTGTTCCCCTGAACATTATTTTGTGGATTTATCAATATGGCTGCATTGTACTTTGTTCACTCACAGTACTATCTACTACGCCATTGCCTAAATATACCACAGTTTTCATTTGTTTCTTCTACTGTTTAGTTGGATGTTTGCCTTTGGGGGCTATTATGTGTATGACTTCTATGGCCATTTTTGTACATGTCATTTGGAAAATATACATGTGCACATCTGCTGCATATTTCCCCCTGAGACAGGACCCAACACCTAGACCCAGGAGCAATATTAGGAATCTCTTTATTTGGTCGGCCATGTTGTTTACTCCAATACAATAATAAAGTTGATATTATTTCTATATGTCTAATTTATTATTCGGTCCAGAACTTAGGTGGGAGAAAGCATTGTGACTGTAATAAGTTATAATCTTTGAATCCAGATATTTAAGAATAAAGTCATTAAATGAGACAGAACATTGAGCTATATTTAATGGAGAGGAATTTAATCCATTCAATTGACAGAAACGGAGCCATATATTTTTAAGTATTTTTAATTAAAATGTTCTCACAATCCTAATATCTATTAGTTAAGCAATATGCATGTGAAAATAGAGCCTGCAGACACATGACTTAGCCAATTCACACAAGCACAAAACAGCAAATTTTCTTTTGCTATTTATGGATAGACAATCACTTTCTGTTTAGTTTACCAAAAAAAGTTTATACAGCCCTAGCTGGCTCAGTGGATAAAGCATCAGTCTGAGGACTGAAGGGCCCCCAGTCAAAGGCACATGCCTGGGTTTCAGGCTTGATCCCCTGTAGGGGATGTGCAGGAGGCAGCCAATCAATTATTCTCTCCCATCATTGATGTTTCTATCTCTCTCTCCCTCTCCCTTCCTCTCTGAAATCAATAAATATAATTTTTTTAAAAAGTTAATACATGTTATGGCCATTTTGGAAGACAGGCTAATAAAATTTTACTGACCTGGGCTCTGGGGAAATTATTTATAAGAGCAATAAAATTACTCATGTGGACAAAATACAAAACAAAAGCTATTTTTTAAAAAGTTTCTTCCAGAGTCTAGAGTAGCTGAAATTTCAGGAAAGCCTAATCACACTTTGTCATGAGCACTGGATTTCTCCTTCCTTTTTCCTCTACAGCCAACATTTACTCATAGCCATACCCTTGAAGAAGTCTTTGACATGTTTGATATGATCTTGTGACTGAGGCAAGGAAAATGAACTCTAGGAAAGATCAAAATTGTTAATAGTTTTAAAACTCTGATTTTGGAAACTTTTTAAATACATATTTATAATGCATTCCCCCCAAATGTTGTAGAGTACTAGCTCTCCCAACTTTCCTATAATATATAATTGCAACAATATTAGTTCAAACAAATGCCATTCTTCAATCTGCTAATTATGTTGTCATTTTCTGATAAGATCATAATTGAATCATAATTTGTTCAATCCTCTTAAATATTTCTCTCTTGTTTCTACTACAGCTTTCAAAGATTTGGGTCCCAGCCCTAGCAGGCTTGGCTCAGTGGATAGAGCATCAACCTGCGGACTGAAGGGTCGCAGGTTGGATTCTGGTCAAGGACATATGCCTAGGTTGTGGGCTTGATCCCCAGTAGGGGGCGTGCAGGAGGCAACCGATCAATGATTCTATCTCATCATTGATGTTTCTCTCTCTCTCTCCCTCTTCCTTCCACTCTGAAATCAATAAAAATATATTTTAAAAAAAGATTTGGGTCCCATTTACATTTAAAATTATAATGTCAAGACCTAAGAAGAAGTAAGGAAGAACACAGGAAAGCATAAGTGGAACAGAGATGTCCTAGTAAATCTCATCACATTCACAAGGGAACTGGGCTAGGGAGGCAGGTGGCTGTCCGTGACAAGAGTGAGGAGATGCAAGTTCTCAGTCTCAGCTCATTAGTCCGTATCATTCATTCTCTGTGTGACTTATCCAAGCCTTGGTTCTTTAATAAGAAACTGGGTCAGTTGATTCTAGCTTCATCTTAAATAATTCTCTAACTGGTTTGCTACGCCTAAGGAGCCCTTTAATTGAACTCTTTTCTCACTATAAAAGTTGCCGCCCTTTAATTGAACTTTTTTCTCACTATAAAAGTTGCCTTCCACATATACCCAGTGATCTGATCATCATAACTCAAATCTTTGGACCCAGCAGGCATCATGTGACATGTCAGAGTACTCACCCCAGGGTTGCTGGAGTAGACCTGTTTCCACCAAAAGACAGAAGCATATGCAGCTAGTAAGTGTTCCAGCACAGAGAAGATAAGCATCACCACCAGCACACCCTGCAAATCAGAACAGGGATGGTTGGTGCCATAAGCCAGCTCTTGTGCCTGACTGAGAGGAAACTGAGGAATGAAGGCTCTAGTAGTGGAGAGCACAAGAGACAGAGAAAATCGTTTAATTCTCTCTTCTGCTTTCTCTTTTGGATCTCTTAACAGAAAAAGGGGAATAAGCAGCAACAGTTTCATCTCACAAAATATTATGCTAAGTGAAATAAGCCAGTCAGAGGAAGACAAATACCATGTGATCTCACTTATATGTGGAATCTAATGAATAAAATAAACTGACAAACAAAATAGCGACTGACAGTTGTCAGTGGGGAGAGGGGTTGGGAGACTGGATGAAAGAAGGTGAAGGGGTTAATCAAAGAACATATATGCATAACCCATAGACACAGACAACTGTGTGGTGATGGCCAGAAGGAAGAGAGGTGGGGGCTGGATGGAGGTGGGCAAAGGCAGAGAAAATGGGGACATCTGTAATAGTGTCAACAATAAAGAAAATAAATAAATTAAAATAAAATAAAAACTTTCATCTCAGATCCTTGGTGTCCACATTCTGAAATAAGAATAATCCATTTATTCATGGTGGCTTTTATTAGTTCCTTTTTTTCTTTGCTGAGTTTTATTATAATGGTGTTTCAGGTGTAGATCTGTTTTTATTTATGCAGCATCTGTCTCAGTGCATTCCTTCAGCCTGACAAATTTTCAGTGATGTCTCTTAAATTCTGACAAATTTTCAGTGATGTCTCTTGGCATGTTTTTTCTCTCCCATGCTGTCCCACTAAAGCTCAGATTAGATGTGTGTTGAACCTTTTCACTCTGCTGTATCCTCCATGTCTTTTAATTTCTCATTCATATTTTCCAAATTTTTATCTTACCTTGTTGTGTTCCATATGATGTAATCAGACCTGCATTTCATTTTGCTGCTTATTTTTTTGAACAGGTTGACTCTGCTATTTAACTGATATGCTAAGCTCTTAACACCAAATATTATAATTTTCATTTCTAATCTATTATCATATAATTCCTAATTCTTGGGAAACTATATAATTTCAGTGTGTGAGTGTTATTGGGGGATGGGGATTCTTTGATATGTAGGAAACTTATAAGTTAGGTTTATGGACATCTCCCTAGATCAAGCATGTCAAACTCAAAGGCTAACATGGGCCAAATAAATGAGACATGCAGCCTACAGGCCTCCAGTTTGACATGCTTGCCCTAGATAGTAATTTTAGGTTGTTGTTTTTCTCTTTTAATATATTTTATTGATTTTTTACAGAGAGGGAGGGAGAGGGATAGAGAGTTAGAAACATTGATGAGAGAGAAACATCCATCAGCTGCCTCCTGCACACCTCCTACTGGGGATATGCCTGCAACCAAGATACATGCCCTTGACTGGAATTGAACCTGCAGGCCAATGTTCTATCCACTGAGCCAAACCGGTTAGGGCTAATTTTAAGTTTGATTCTGATAGAATCTTAGGAGTTTCACAGATCCAGGAAGTTTTTAAGTTAATCCTTTTATTTGAGGTTCTTCTCTTTTATATATGTATTTTTTATTTGGATGCCATATGTGCACAAGACTTGGTGAGGTGATTTCATCCCAGAAACCTTTATGGCAGATTTACTTAGTATGTTGGGCAGAGTTTTCCTTGTCTTATTTTCATAAATATTCCATTTCAGCATCTAACATTCTTGCAGGGCCCTCTGTGTGCATTCCCTGCTTTCTGTGGAGCCTCAAATCCTGCCTTGGGCATTAAAACTCCATGATCCAGGCCTCCATGGTTTTCTGGTCTCAGCTCTTGTTTGGTGACCTGGCTTTAGGATTTTTCTTAGCTTCTGGGACCTATGATATTTTTCTTCCTTGATTTCTTTCTTCCTTTCATCCTTTCTTCCTTCCTTCTTCCAAACGGGGGAATGTATCACTAATATTTTTTAATTTGTTGCTCTTTCCCAGGTTATCTTTGTGTTAATAAAGAAAGTGAACTTTTAATACTGCTTAGTCAGCAAAGGTGCAACTCCTCTGATGTTGCAGGTAGTTCTCTTTGACTCCTGTTATGTGAGAGTGGGAGGCAGTTTGATGTATTGAGATTAGTTTTCATTAAATACAGCCCCCACTATCCCAGTGGGGAGGATGAATCTCATACCCCCATTGTTTTGCTTAACGTCTGCCCTGCACGACAGTTATACTATCTCCTGGGCTCTTCATGTTGGTATCTAACCAGGTGGGTTTCTGTGCTCTTCTGCTTCCTCAAGCTCCTGGATCAAGGGGAGTTTGGACAGCCTCTGGATCACATGGATAGCTGCACATAAGGGTGTGAGTCCAGACAGTTGGCGCCCATTCTCTGTGATTCATGAGACAGGTAGATCCCAGATAATGAGAGACAGTGTCTTTGTCTCTACAGCTCCTATAGAGAGGAATCACAAAGGAAGAAATCTTTCTCCATCAAGGGCCAGAGTTGATGGTTTTAACCTCTGATCCAGTATATAGAGAGGATTAACTAAGTCAGGATTGTCATCATCAACAGGTGGTGACAAGTTTGGGGGAAAGGAGGTAAGAAAATGCTGCCCAGAGATGTTGGCATTTCTGCTAGAAGTCGAATCCACTGGTGATCCATCTCCCATCCTCCTCTCACTCTCTGCCAGACCTATTAGGCCAAAGTATAATAATTATATGTTTGGGTTTCAGGTTCAAAATCCATATCTAACTTAATATAGGATACTTGTATCTCAAATCAAATGAAATTCAAATAAAGAGGTGTGTTTCTGGGATATTCATTGAGGGGGGGGGAATGCCTGTTCAAAAAAGGGGACACTTTGAGAGTTAAACCTACTGAGAATGGAATTTTTTTAATTTAAGAAAGACTACTGTAGGAATGGACTACCCACAGCCCTTCTTGATTTCCTTTTTCGACTTCACACAATGCATGCCCCATATTTTGCAGTCTGCTGACGGACCTCTTTCAACCGTATTTTCTTCTGTCTGTCTTCAGACATTCAGACCAACAGGGCTAGGGACTGCTGAAAAAGCAAGATTATGCAAAAGGGAGACAGAGATTTCACATGACAGGAGACTCAATCTGAAAGTACTTACTGTGAGACTAACACCATCCAGGACACAGTCCTTGACTTCATATTTTGGATTAGGGTATCCTGGATAAGGCAAGGAGGATAGATGCTCATTTTCCGAGTCACACAGTTGAGAGGCAGTCCTCAGGGCTACCAGGCTGTAAACGAGGAGGAAGAGGCCTGCTCCAGCGACAACAGAACTCACTGCATTAGAGGTCAGACTGCCGATGGCCTGAAAAAGAAATCTGCACTGGGGTCTCATCACAGAAATAGCATATGATTCTGATTCCTTCCATCCACTGCACTGCAACTAAGCTTCCCTCTAATCTGCATAGTCCTAGTGGGCACATACTGTGTCTCATTCATCTCTGTGTATCCCTGCTCACTATCTAGTTCATCACCTTATATAATTACTAAATGTTTGTGGAATTAGAAAATATATGGATTAATTCCTGCTTTGGGAGAAGGGTTCCTTGACTCTCTGCAGCACTGAAGACAGAAGTGGTATCGCCAATATCTCCCTTTACTCCTCAACAGACTTAGAATCATTTTAAATATGGCCTTTGGTCCCTCCTGGGAAGACCAATCTATGGCCTGTTCTTTCATAAAGAAGCAGCTTCAGAGAAAAAGGAAGAAGCAAATTGGAGAAGTTGGAATACATTCTATAGGTGGGTCAAGCCTATAAGAACCTCATCACCACACTCACTCCCGGGTCATAGTCTACATTTTGGAGAAATGGGCTCTAACAGGATGTGACTCCTGCAAAGACACTGATGTACCAGATTCCCAGCGCATGATCTTTTCTGTTTAAGCACCACTGTAGGATACCGTGTGTTGGGGAGGATGGTTGCCCTATCCTCTTCTGCCTTGACCCAGTAGCTATATGGCTTCAAGTTTCTGAGTCCCTGAAGGAAGAACAGAGTGAATGGGCAGCACCTTGGCCAGGAGCTGCCATGCGGGCAGCAAGCCCTCATATTATCCTGTGTCCCACATGTGGAGCCCATATTGTGTCAGGTCGTCCCAAGCATAGTTTTTCCTTTCAGTGTATTCAGGGCACTTGGGAAGCTACCTCTGAGATACACATGTTCATCTTTCACATTTTGTAAATAAGAAAACTGAAGTCCAGAGAAGGCAGGAACTTTTTCAAGCACACAGATGGATAGGGGACCGAGCTGGGATGGGAGTAAATGTTTCCTGATTCCAAGTCCAGAATTCTGACTCTATCCATGCTATAAACTCTTCAACACCCTCTCCACTGATTCTGGGGTTCAGACTCTAGCTTCAAGCATCAGGAGCATATACCAGTATAGTACATCTTATGTTCTCTCATCCATGGCTAACCAGACCTTGGATCTACCTGAGTCAGAATATGGCCTTTCCCTAAGTCATCTTTGTGGGCACATGTCAGGGGAAAGGGAAAGGTTGCTATGGAGAAGATCAAAGACCTCAACTTCCACCCACTGCCTCCCAACTCCTGATCTTTGTCAGGAGAGTGACTACAGTCTGATAATTCCTTGTTCTCGAAGGAGTAAATGAGATAGCCAGAGAAGATCTAAGCCCACACACCTCCGCTTCTGTCCATGCTATTTAGGGAAATTGACACATTATTGGATAGATTTTTCTAGAAAAAAAATAATCATTAGGATCTAGCTGGGACGGTCATCTACCATATCCAGGGCCAAGGTACATTTTAAAAAGTTCTTAGTATATGTAAAAATTTCCACTGTTTGGAGCTCCATTATGTAGGGGAAAGAATACTGGTCTGAAGGCAAGGAATTTGGGCTTTACTCCTAGTTCAGCCAGTGGGCCAGTGGGGAGAACTTGGGCTCCCTCACTTGCTCTGAGCCTTGTTTCCCTAACTAATCAAATGGAAATTTTGAACTGGAAGAATTAACTCTGAAGTTCCTTTTATACTTACAAGGAGCTTAGTTGATTTTTTCCCAGAGATAATGGAAAGGATTCCAGTAATGGCAAACTGCTCAGAAAAGAGAGAAATAATCAGTTCAGTTGTTTTGTGGAAATGTATCAATCACTCAATCAATAAGTAATGTAAAACTTTCAGGGAGATGACACTGTAGGAATGGTGTAGGCCCATATTGATAGAGAGGTCTGATTTCTGCCCTTGGGATGTTTACCATTGACTGAAGAATCAGCAGATGTGCAGGAACTGGAGTCATGTTAGTGAAAATCAATATGAGCTAAGGAAGCCTGGAGGTGTGCATGGAGGGAGGAGAGTTATAAATTACAAGGTTGACTACTAACCCAGGCCTAGTGTCTGAGCTAGAAATCACCATACAGCAGAGGTCTAGGGATATCTAGTTGTTGCAACAGGCCAGACTTGTCTAGAAGCTGTATCTGCAAAGCACTTGATATGAGATGGAAGCATCAGGAAACTCCCCACTTAGAATCAACTGTTTTTAATTATTTATATTTATTGTTCCCCATTTTTTAATCACAGAATCTGATTGTAAATACAGTTTATGTGTATGGATTTTCTTCCTTGGATTTAATTGTAAATACAATTTTGTTTTATGTGGGTGCTGTTGTTTCTCACTAACAATCATCTTGTTAGCCTTTTCTCACTAAATCATTATTCCTTTAAAGCCTATTTGTATTGGCTGCAAGGTATTTAATCATATGGCTGATGTATAATTTATTCAGTGTATCTCTTATTGTTGGACATTTCACTGTTTGCAATGTTTCACTCTCTAAAGTAATTCCATAAAAAATATCATTGTACATTAAAAAGATTACATGGTTGAAAGAAAGGAGATTGAGAATGTCCAATAACTTGAAGGGAGAGAAAGATGGAAGCAGCCAACAGAAGCACTTGGTGGTTCAAGATGCAGAAGCACATGGGCTTCAAGCCATTGGTGTAGGTGGCCTGAATTAGACTGGGAGCCAAGGAAAATGGAAAATACAGGGTCAGATGTGAAGAGTCTTTCATCATGAAGCCCTAGAAGTCAATATTTGATTCCAGTGGTGTTAAGGATCCAGTTGGTGGGAAAAGAGTATTCTGAGAAGCTAAAATGTTGGTTAAGCTGTGGCTTAGAGATTTGGTTGTCACAAAGAGGATCCAGAATGAATTAATTCTAATGTGGAAGCTATAACTACTGGTTAAACAGAAAGGTCAAGGGCAAATTATGCTTTTGGTGCAGGAGCAGGGCCTTCTTACATCACCGCATGATTTGTGTCTACACAAGGACTGTATCCATACAGGAGTGATGCCTTGATAAAATTCATTTGCCCAGAATGTGTACTTTTTTCCTCCTCTGTACAGGATACTACATAGAAAAGAAGCGTGTGTAGGAGGTATGACTAGTGTCCAAAAGAAGGTCCTTTCTTCATGAGTCCTAAGATGGAAGGCAGCAACCAAGGTTTTCAAGTGCTCAGGATTGCTGTTGAACTTATAGCAAGAGTACCCTGTCTTGCATAAATTTTACCATTGCTGGTTTAATTCTCTGCAACCTGTGGCATCTACCACTTGTGGTCATTTTATTATAAAAATGACCTTTTCACTCTATATGACAGGTAGACTATTCTTAAACTGGAGGGAATCCAATGGCTTCATTGAAGGCCCAAAGAAGAATGCAAAAAATGTTCCACTTTTCCAGAGGCATACTGTAAAGCCAGGTTAGAAATGCTGGTATGTCCACTGCACTATCTTCTTGTCTTCTGTCCCATCCATTCACTCCCTGAGATTTTCACATAAGACCACCGATTAAGCCTCTCTCTGTTCTTCCTGAATTGCAGAGACATGATGTGAGATGATAACAGAAGGAAAATTGGAGGTCTTAGCCTTTTTCTCCTCTCTCTCCACTTCTAAGAACTGAGTTATTCCATTACTTAGCATGCTGTTAGCATTTATAAAGCATATTCCCGCTTGGATACCCCATTCTACTCACGCACAGAGCTCCTACAAATGGGTACCCGGACATCAACATGGTGGAAACTGCTGGCTTGAAGTGGGAAGAGTAGGGAGAAAAAAACAAAATAGCTCCAAAACTTGAAATCATCAGGCAACACAGTATATGGATACTCTATAAGAGACAAGAGGAAAAATACTAGAATACACTTTAAATAGATAAAAGTGGCATTTGAATGTACATTGTGAATTATAAAGAATACTAGAGGCCCAGTGCACAAAGTCCTGCACAGTTGGGGTCCCTCTGGGTGGCCTGCAGGGATCGGGCCAAAACCCGCAGTCCAAAGCCGCCTACAGCTCCCACCTGCCACTCTCACTCATCCTGGCCCCGCTATGCCTGCAGTGGGCTCGTGCCCAATCAGTCCCAATAAGGAGAGGCTCATGCTGCCACAGCAGTGCTCACCAGCCATGAGCCCTGCATCTAGCGCCCTCCCAAGGGGAGTGGCCTGTGGGATCAGGCTGAAACCAGCTCTCCAACATCCCCCTAAGGGGTCCTGGATTGCAAGAGGGTGCAAGCCAGGCTGAGGGACCCCACGAGAGGGCTCCAGGGCATGTCCAGCCCATCTCACTCAGTCCCAATCAGCCAGACCCCAGCAGCAAGCTAACCTACCAGTCAGAACATCTGCCCCCTGGTGGTCAGTGCCCATCAGCAACTGGTTGACCAGTTGACTGTCTGCCCCCTGGTGGTCAGCGCACACCATAGCGAGCAGTTGAGCAGCCTGAGCATATCATTAGCATATTACTCTTTGATTGGTTGTTCGGTTGTTCTGCCATTTGGTCTATTTGCATATTACCCTTTTATTATATAGGATTAACATGTTACAATTTGTCATATTAAAAAGGAAAAATGTGCTAGAAGGAGCTAATAGGCATTCTCTAAGAGAATTCATATGTTACTAACATTTTTTGTTTTCTGATAGGATTATTAAACTAGCAAATCAGGGAATAATTATATGCACATTTTTAAATTTTATTTTGAAAATGTTGACAAATCGCCCTGACCGGTTTGGCTCAGTGGATGGAGCATCGGCCTGCGGACTGAAGGGTCCCAGGTTCGATTCCGGTCAAGGGCATGTACCTTGGTTGCGGGCACATCCCCAGTAGGGGGTGTGCAGAAGGCAGATGATCGATGTTTCTCTCTCATCGATGTTTCTAACTCTCTATCCCTCTCCCTTCCTCTGTAAAAAATCAATAAAATATATATTTAAAAAAAATAAAAAAGGAAAAAAAGAAAATGTTGACAAATTTTTTATGGTTCTAGGAAAAGTAGATGGAGAAAATCTTTTCTGGACAGCAGTCCAGTTACATGGATATAGAAAGCAAACTTACCAAGAAAGTGCTAATAAAGGGGTCAATTTCAATGGAAATAAAATAGAGCAGGAATTCTTTAGTGCTGTAATTCATCTTATCTTATTCATCATTGGATTTTAATAATAATTGCTATTTTTGCCGAAACCGGTTTGGCTAGGTGAATAGAGCGTCGGCCTGCGGACCTAAAGGTCCCAGGTTCGATTCCGGTCAAGGGCATGTGCCTTGGTTGCGGTCACGTCCCCAGTGGGTGATGTGCAGGAGGCAGCTGATCGATGTTTCTCTCTCATCGATGTTTCTAACTCTCTATCTCTCTCCCTTCCTCTCTGTAAAAAATCAATAAAATATATTTAAAAAAAAAATAATTGCTATTTTATGAGATCCATGATGATAATAATGGGTTTGCTGAACACTCTCTACATTCTGGCTATTCATCTAATCTTATTTACAGATAAGAAAAATGAGATACCAGGAGTTAAAATAACTTGTACAAACCAACACAAATGGCCAAGACTCAGGGGTGAGGAATCTTTTTTCTGCCAAGGACCATTTAGATATTTATAACATCATTCTAGGGCCATACAAAATTATCAACTTAAAAATTAGCCTACTATATTTGGCCAAACTTCTAATTAAGTCACCCCTGATGCCTTGGCAGGGCCAGACCAAATGATTTCGAGATAGCAAGAAGTAGTTGCATTCTAGATGTACTATGAAGATTAAACCTGTAGGATTTGCTAAAAGTTTGAATGTGGATTATGAAAGAGAAGAATGAGCCCCACTGGTATGGCTCAGTGGTTGAGCATTGACCTATGAACCAGGAGGTCACGGTTCAATTCCCTGTCATGCATGGGTTGCAGATTCGATCCCCAGTAGGGGGCATGCAGGAGGCAGTTAATTAATGATTCTCTCTCATTATTGATGTTTCTATCTCTCCTTCTCCCTTCCTCTCTGAAATCAATTTAAAAAATTTTTAAGAAAGGAATAAAAGTTGCCTCCAAGTGTTTTAACTTGAGCTTCTGAAATGATGGAGTTGACATTGATCTGAGATGGAAAATATTGTATGAGGTGTGTGTTTGGGGAGGAGTATCACGATTTCAGTCTTATGTAGGATAAAGGAGAGATGTTTAGTGGATATCCAAGTGGAGATATACCAAGGCATTTATATGTATGACTATTAAGTTTAGAACAGAGATCCAGGCAAAGGATATAGTTTTATTTCCCCATGTCATATTAGAGATAATATTTAAAGTCATATTACTGGATGTGGTTGCCATTGCAGCAGATATAGAAAATGAATAGAAGCAAGGACTGAGCTACAGAGCACTCCAAATTTAGGATCAGGGAAATTCATAAAAGACTATTTTTAAAAAAAGCATAAAGAGAACAGCTAAGGAGGAAAGAGAAGAAAACAAAAGAATGTGATGTCCAAGAAGCCAAATGAACGAAATGTTTCAAGTAGAAGAGTGGTTAACTGCATCAAACACTTTCATTAAATAAATAAAGTTAACAACAGAGACTTGAAAATTGGGTTAGTAATGTGGAGTAAAGGAGGCAAATGCCATTGGATGTGATTCAAGAGTAAATGGAGAGCCTTAGCCAGTTTGGCTCAATGGATAGAGTATTGGCCTGTGGACTGAAGGGTCCTGGGTTCAATTCCGGTCAAGGGCACATCAATTCTGGTCAAGGGCACATGCCCAGATTGCAGACTCAGTCCCCAGTAGGGGCATGCAGGAGGCAGCCAATCAATGATTCTCTCTCATCATTGATGTTTCTATCTCTCTCTTCCTCTCTGAAATCAATAAAAAAGTTTTAAAAAGAGTAATTGGAGTCAATGACCTCCTACCTTTTAGAGGACAGTTACTGGGAAGGCAAGTAATGAATGGGGCATTAGCTGGAGAACATGAACTTGAAAGTATTTGACTTTGCTTTTTTGTTTTCAAGACAGAAAAATCAGAGTAAGATTCTGTGTTATGAAACTGATTAAAAATTTTGCAGTGAGAATTACTGGAACAAATGATAAGGGATGGGATTTACTGCACAAAGGGAGGGTTGTCATTAATTAGATAGACATTTTATTCTTTTTAAAAATATATCTTTATTGATTTTAGAGAGTAAGGGAGAGGGAGAGAGAGAGATAGAAACATCAATAAAGAGAGAGAATCATTAATTGGCTGCCTCCTGCATGCCCCCTACTGGGGATCAAGCCCACAACCAGGCATGTGTCCTGACAGGAAATTGAACCATGACCTTCTGGTACATAGGTCGATGTTCAACCACAGAGCCACACTGGTTGGACAGATATTTTATTCTTAGTAGCTGGAGTGAGGAGAAAGAATGTATGGACACAGACATGGGTAATTGTAGATGTGTAGCAGCTTATGGACATTCTATCCAGATTGCCTCAATATTTTAGTATTATAGGAAACAAAGTAATAAATGGAGATGGAAGAAACTTATGATATTTGAAGGAGGAAATGTGTGAAATAGTTTTCTGGGATAATAAGAAAGTGAATGGGTGAAAGAAATAGGTACTTTTAGGCAGATTTTTTAGTCCATTTTGGGTTATGGTCATAAACCAGAAGGTGTGTGTGTGTGTGTGTGTGTGTGTGTGTGTGTGTGTGGTGTGTGTGAATTAAAATCCTGAATCTGAAGGATGAGAATCTAGGACACTGAGGTGTCTTATAGTTACTCAGATAAACAGGGAGAAAATGTATGGTGAGATTAGTTCAAGTTGTCTCACCTTAAAATGTGTAAGAAATGAGCTCAAAATGTGTAAGAAATAAGGTGACCTAATTTAATCATATTGAGTAAAATTATACAGTTAAATCAATATTTCCACTATATTAAGGCCAATTTATAAGAGACTTTATCATGTAGATTACAAGTAGAAAAGACCCAGTGGTTTTTGTTGATTTAAAGAAAGGTCTGGGAGGACACAGTCTTCCCATAAAGTCCCATTCCATGTCCCAATTAGCCTGGAGTCACACAGAAAAATAAATGACTCTCCCAGATCCATTGTAGATCTGTAGTCAGGAAACATTCACAATATCCCCCTAGTGTTCTCCTTATAATGAGGTGGACTTACTCCAACAACTGTGGTTTCTTTTTGAAGATCATTCTGCAGTGTATCTTCTTTTTGGTAAATGTGTCCGGGTTTCTCTCTTTGGGGGATAATGATGTCTTTCAGAGTGGAGTCAAAGGCTTCCTTGGTCTTGGACTGTGACAGCATGATGCTAAAGACGCTGGAAGAGGCAGTGAACTCAGTTAGGACCCACGGTTTGACTTAATGATATGAAACTCCCACAGATGAGACTTTGTAGGAACTTAAAATTTTTCTTCATTGGTCAAGATGTGATCAGTCCTTCAGGAGCATAACTGAATATGGGAATCAAGGGAAGCATTGAAAAGCTAGCAAACTTGATACAATCCATCCATTGAGGACAGAAAAAAATGTCCCTGGGAGAAAACTGTAAACATTTGGAGGTGTCCCCAGCCAAGAGGCAGACAATTTATATACAACTTGCTTTGCAGCCTTGAGTGTATCATTTCACGCTTTCTGACCTTAGGGAATTTGAGTTGATGGTCTCTAGCTCCAGAATTGTTCCCATATTCTGGCAACTTGGCTTCTTCCTTGCTCTTGTGGTTTAATAGACCAAATATGCCATGTTGACCCCTTTTTCTAATCTTAATAACCAGTCTTTTAAGCTGCATCCATATTGTCATTAAAGTATTACAAAGAGTATTACATATATCTCCTTTTTCCCCCCCCGCCCTTGACAATCCCCCAATCTTTTAAGCTGCATCCATATTGTCATGTATTGCAAGATTTCTTTCTTATTTTAAAGCTGACCTTGAGGACATTGTGCTAAGTATAATAAGCCAGTCACAGGAGGACATGATTTACTGTAACTTATATAAGGTATGGTAAATAGTCAAACTCATTGAAGCAAAGACTAGAATGGTGGTTGCCAGGATCTGGGGGAGGAGGGAATGGGGAGCTGCTGTACAACATGTATAACGTTTCAATTGTGAAAGATCAATTCTAGAGGTCTGCTGCACAACACTGTGCCTATAGATAGCAATGCTACATATGGTGCATTTAAAAAGCTGTCAAGAGAATAAACCTTATGTTAAGTATTGTACTGCAATACAAAAAAAGAAAACCGGGAAGAAAGAAATCAAAGATTTACCCCAACTTAAGGATTTTTTTAAAGTCTCTATACTTCTGAATTTCTTTCTGCAGATTTCAGTTCTCTGCCCAAAGACTACAAATGTGCTGATCTGGGCCTGAAGCTAGAACCTGGGGTCTAGTTGGTAGCCTCTAGCTTACTGCACTCTCAGATACCATGCAAATTCATTTTCTTTTATTATATTTTGTCTGTTTTGTTTTAAATAGAGTGTAACATAGCAAATGCAATCAAAAGGGGAATAAGGTTTGAAGAAGAAAACAAAAAATTTCCTTAAATCTTAACTATCACCTACTGACTACTATTTTATATATATCCTTTACAGTCTCTTTTTCTCCTTTCTCATTTTGCCTCCTCTTTCTTTATATACGTTTATACACATCATAATTCTACATAAACAGAATCATTCTAACCATTACACTAAACATTATTCTGTGGACATCATGGACACTAATACATATAGATATTACCCAGCCTAAATTTAAAAGCCAAGTGGCAAATTCTGACACATGCTACAACATGAATGAACCTTGAAATACTAGTAAGCCAGTAATAGAAGGACAAATATTGTATGATTATACTTCTGTGAGGCACCCAGAGTACTTAAATTTATAGAGACATATAAAACTGAAAGCAACAAATGAACCAACAAGAAAAAAACCTCATAGACAAAGACAACAGAATGGGGTGACCAGAGGGAAGGGGGGTTGGAGGGTAGTAAAGGGTAAAGGGGTCAAATATATGGTGACAGAAGATTTGTCTTTGTGTGGTGGGCACACAATGCAATATACAGACAATGTATCATAGAATTGTATACTTGAAACTTATAAAATTTTATCAATGTCACCCCAATAAATTTAATTTTTTAAAAACACAGAATGTTGGTTACCAGGGGCTGGGAAGAGAGAAAAACATGGTGTTACTGTTTAATGGGCATGGAGTTTCGGTTTGGGAAGATGAAAAAATTGTGGAGTTCAGTCGTGAGGATGGTTTCGCAAGGAATCTCCACATTGATACCATCATCTCCAAACTCTACAGTCTGTGAAGGATCCTTTGTCCTCCACATTCACCACATGGATACAAACGTAAGGTAGCCCCCAAATTTCTGAGTCAGTTCTAAAAATCCCCACCTTGGAGACAAATAAATCATAGCTTGGAGAACAACTTCTCTGCACACAGCAATTTTCTCTAATACAAAATTAAAATGGAACAATGGGGTCTTAATGCAGGATTCAATCTAATTTGTTGAGAGCGTATTCCGTGTAAGATTGAGTGAAACATCAGAAAAACACAGAATTGTAGAAAATCACAACTTCAAAGCGTGAAGGAAGCTTAAGGATGGTTTCACCCAGTTCTCTTATTTGGAAAGAGAGTAAACTGAGGCCCATAGAGGGAAATCAACTCACCAATTCATGCAGGTGGTCAGCAGCAGAGACAAGGCAAGATTCTAATTCCTGGCTGTCTGTTAAAAAACAACAACACAGTAATCTCCCCCAAAATTTATGATCCAAACCAAGGTGCCTCCCTGTTCCTGCAGCCCAGCCCTGTGTGTTGTGGCTGGTGGGCCAGGTCACTTCTGGGGAGCTCTCAGCCAGAACTTCCTACTGTTCCTGCCACAAAGATTTTGCTGCTTTGCTCTCCAATCTCTGAGACTTCCTGTCCCTCATCCAGAGTAATGTTTATGATTACACAAGATATGAGTCTCGCTGTACTTATGCGCAGTTTATACAAAAAAATGTACCTCAGAAAGTTGCCTCTTTCTACATTTCAAGGTCTGGAAAACGACACAAATTAGAAGTAACACACAAGAAAGAGGTTCTGAGGGCGAGTGAGTTGCATGGCCCTGTTTAGAATTTGTTTCCTGCATGCCTATAGGTAATTCAGCTAGTTCCTTTTGGCCAGAATTTTCTTACCTACTAGATAGGGATGGATAATAATAATTCCACTATATGGCTGTTGGGAAAAATAAAGAGAAAGGATGTTAAGAGCTCATTAAAAGTAGACACTCAATAATTAATGATAATGGTAATGTTCATTTGAATTTGGGAGAATTTATTTTCCAATTTCCCAGGTCTTAGCAAACTAAAAGCAACCCGTGGGGACTCATTTCCTAGTTGGTACTTCTTTTGGGTGCCTCTTCACTCTCTGCCTCTGGCTTCATAAATTCCTAACTTCGTGCTCAGCGAAGTCCAGGCACATCTTTGGAAGGATGTCTGTAGATGGGGATCAAGAGGCCGAGCCATCAGGGCTGCAAACAAGCTCATATTCTGAGAAGTACAGATTGTTGAGGGAACATTGTTTCTATTTTCACATTCCTTTTAAGGCGGCTGGGAGAACAGCCTTTGCTCAGAAGGAGGGGCATGGCAAAGGTGGCAGTAGCAACAGCTAGCAGCATGTCATGCTCCATGCTTTCTCAATTTCCTGAAGGCTGGAAAGACTGGCCCCTAAGAGAGGAGAAAATCTAAGCCAGTGGGGTTTAAGAAACTTAGAAAATGCTTGGAGAGAATTTTAATCCCATCTCTTTAGTCTCCCGACTAGATATTGCTGAACAAACCACAGATCGCTGGTCAAGTCAGGGGGAAAAGCAGGATGAGGATCCAAGTCTCTTGGCAGCTGAGCTCAGGCTGCTTACACCTCAGCAACAGTCTATCATTTTGTCATCTCCATCCCCATGACCAACATCATCTTAATTTATGAACACCGTCATGGTCCAGAACTTCCTCTGGGTCTGTGACCTGCTTTGAACAAATTGCCAAAGAAGAATCTTGGTCATTTGGGCTTCTCTCACATCTCTCCTGTGTCTCAGAAGGAATGTGTGGAAAAATCAGTTGAATATCAGGCCAGTTTTATCATATGTAAAATCATAATAAAAAAGTTCTGAATTGTTGTGAGGAGTAAGTCATACATAAAGTCAGGTATGTGTGTACTATATAAAATGCCCTGCATAGAGTCTGATATATAATAAAATTCAAGAAAATCTGTATTCCTGGTGCAACATCTTCTTCCACCCTCTTTATTGAAAAATGTACTTCCTCTCTAGATTAATCTCTAGTCTCTATGTGTAATTTTTTTTACGTTTACTCTAAACTCATTCTTCTCTCATTGATTGAAATATCCTCGGCCCTTTCCAAAGAATCCTTGGCTCTAGACTGGCAAACAACTCGTGGTGCTAAAATCGCTTCAAGGGTTCATCTAAGGATTTCCCAATTTCCCATCCTCCCACCCAAGCTGACTGTGAAGCTAGTAAAAGTGGAAGTGTGTCTCAGCTATCTACTGACCTTGAATGGAGGTGACAGAGATTTTTTCTTCTCCTCCAGAAATAGATAAGACAGAGTGCATCCACTGTGGAAAACAGTATGGATGTTCCTCAAAAAATTAAAAATAGAACTGCCTTATAACTCAGTGATTGCACTTCTGGGTATACATCTGAAGAAATCCAAAACACTAATTCAAAAGAATATATGCCCACCACCCAAAGTCACATCTTCTCCTGTCACCTCATATTAGGACCCAGACTTTGTAACTTGGAAATCCACATATGAAACCTATACGCTCATGTTGACCAATGTCACCCCAATAAAATTTAATTTAAAAAATAAATAAAGGAAAAAAAGAATATATGCACCCCTATGTTCATTGCAGCATTATTTTTCAACAGCCAATATATGCAAGCAACCCAAGTGCCCATCAATAGATGAGTGTATTAAAAAGTTGTGGTACATATATATAATTGAATAATACTTGATCATGCTGTCCTTTATGTGAAAGTGTTTTACTGTTGGTGGTCAGTGACTAAGAACAAAGATGATTCTACACAACACTGCTGATGGGAATACAGACTGGTGCAGCCACTATGGAAAACAGTATGGAGTTTCCTCAAAAAATTAAAAACAGAACTCCCATTTGACCCAGTGATCCCACTTCTAGGAATATATCCTAAGAAACCTGAAACATTCATCAGAAAGAATATATGCACCCCTATGTTCATAGCAGCACAATTTATAATAGCTAAGATTTAGAAACAGCCTAAGTGCCCATCAGCAGATGAGTGGATAAAAAACTGGTACATTAACACAATGGAATACTATGTGACTATGAAAAAGAAAGAACTCTTACCATTTGCAACAGCTTGGATGGATCTGGAGAGTATTATGCTGAGCGAAGTAAGCCAGTCAGAGAAAGATAAGTATCACATGATCTCACTCATATGTGAAATCTAATGAACAAAATAAACTGATGAAATAATAGATCCAGAGACATAAAATTCATTGAACAGACTGTCGAACCTCAGAGGGAAAGCAGAGGAGGGTGGGTGGGAAGAGATCAACCAATGAACTTGTATGCATATATGCATAACCCATGGGCACAGACAATGGGGTGGGGAGGGCCTCAAGTGGGAGATGGGGGATGGGGGCATGATGGAAGAGATCAATGCAGGGGCGGGGAGGGGGACAGGGAGATGACTTATGTAATACTTTCAACAATAAAGATTTTTTTAAAACACAGAAAGAAGATTCTAGGGCATCTACACATGTATTGAGCAGATATAATTTACTTAATAGGACACCTTCTGAAAATTAGCAGTTAACACATTTGGACCTCATTTTCCAGCTATAAAAATCATTTTTTTCCCTAAAAGCTTGAATATAATTTCCATGAGATGAGGCAAAAACTTTGCCACCTAGGTACCAATTCTATCCTCTATATTCTCAATCTTCTTGAAAAAATATTAATTTTAACATAGTATATATATTGAAATACAGTAATATTTAATGTTGTTAGAAGACAATATTACTTAGAATATTGCTTTTTACTTTTAAAATATGAGACATTTTATCAAACATATGAAAATTGTTTTTCTCTATTGATTTCACCCTCTAATTTGAATGCTATGAGGAACAAAACTGTTGAATATAAGCACAAAAATGGAAGTGTAGGGAATTATTATCATTCTATCTATAAAATTTTAAATCATTTAAAATACTCCTGTTAACAAAGATTTTTAATTAATTCCTTCTGTTTAATGTTAGCACACTCTGATATTAGTCCACTATTCATATAATTTGTAGTACTTGTCTGGATGTGAGTTCATTTTTATTAAGGTGTTAGTTATTACAATCCAATGCTTACATTTACATAGCATCAAATGTTTAGTGTGAGTGTGACCACTTATCTGATTTAGAAGATATGTAAGGAATTTTAGGAAGCCTCAATTAACTTGCTTTCCAAACCTTTGTAATATAATCATTGAATTTTCCAAACACAAAAACATTGACAGGCCGCTGTGGTTCTTTATTCTGTGATAAATTTGGGGAGAAGACAGACAACTGTCTTTGCAATTAAATTTGACTAAGCTATCTGTTCCAAAAATTTGCCATAATTAGGAGAGTCAAGTAAATCTTACACATTTTTTTTTCTAAACCAAATACTGTTAGCACTGTTATAAATTTCTGTTGTTAATGTCTGTTAAAAAGTAGCTGCATACAAAAGGACTTCTTAAAACGGGCCTGATAACAATGTACATCTGTTTCTTATCTTCGCCAGGTCATTGTCCACTTCCCCTAACTGAAACGACACTGTTCCTTTTTGTACACTTTGTTTTTTCCTTTTTCCTCTGAGAGTCCCCTATACCTATTATTCTAAATTTTTACAAACTTTTAGAAATCAATAGGGCTTCATTAAATTTGAGAGAATTTATAATGAAGTTAATTTCTCTCTATAAGTAGGTAAAAATGCCTTTTCTCTTCCTTAACATTGTTTATTCCACCAGGAATCATTCTTTTTTTTTTCTTTTTTACGTTAAGTTTTAATGGGTCACTCTATTTGTAACTTCTTGGTTGACCGTAAGAAACAATACTGGCCTTGGAATTAGGCCACCTAGATTTTTGTCTTACCCTTTTTTTTTTTCAAATGCAGGTACAGTAATGGTATTTGTTCCCCCCTACATAGTTTTCAAATGCCTTAAATTCACAAACATAAAATCCACTTGCATTGTGTTATACTATTTATATTTAAAAGCAAGAGTATCAACAGTCAAGGGGGCCAGAATTATGTCTCTATGTAAGGGATATTAGAGCAGGTTAGATCATTCTTATATCACTAAGTAGAAAGACATTAATAAATTATAGTTTTAATTCTTCACAACTCTGCTCACTATCCACAGCACAGAAGAGCATCTCTTACCCACATATCTTCACGGGAGGCAATAGATCATTCTGTTGACATGAAGTGGTTTCTCCCTTCGTGTGTCATAATGAATGGGAAATTCTGGAAAAGTGCACATATGATAAAGTCACACATCTGATTATTCTACATTTTTCTATGCGTGCAGTGAACAAATGGGAAGCCAATGTCTAGTTGATGGCTAAGAAATCTACCTGGGCTGATGTCGCTGCTATAGACATGAGAAGCCATACAGAAACCAAGAGAACAAAAACACATAAAAAATGCAGACACAGACATACATACAAACAATTCCCTCAATAAAAAATGCAACACAAATAATTCTGCTGCCAAAATTTTTATTTGATTA